TCTTTCTTCTTCTTCCTCGTTCTCAATGATAGCACCTAGACAGTCAATCCGATGTCGCCCACAAACTGTGCAGTTCGCTTCAACTCTGAGAGATTTGCCATAAAGCTTTCTCTCAAGGGCAGCCACATTCTGCCACGTCTGTTTACGAAGGGTGGCGTAGCGCAGGCAGTGCTGAAGGATATGGTTGGCATCCTCTTGGTCGTGTCCACATTCACAGAACGCCGACTCTCCCACTTTAAATTTGGTGTGCCTGTGGTGTTTGAGTCTGTTGCGGCCACAACGAAGTCTAAAGATTGTGACCAGGTCTGTTCTATTTAGTATGTAGTAGGGGTCATGTCTGTTGTGTTTAGGGTGGGACATTTTCCATCAGTTTCTTAAGGCAGATTTTATTAGTGTTTTTGATTCTGAGAGATCTATGCCATCTTCAATCTGGGTCATTTTGGCTCCTTCTTTGGTTAAGTCGTCTGCTTTTTTATTTCCATGAATGCCACAGTGACCTGGTATCCGCTGCAGAGTTGTGTTGGCTTGGGAGTTAAGATCACAGACAGGTGAAAGGAGTTGTCATACTTGAGCTGTTGGTGGCTTTTGGAGAGCTTATAGGACAGATTTGGCATCTGTGAGGATGACGGTGTTGGCTTTAGAGTTTTGGTGATTCAAGAGAATGGTGGCTGCTGTTTCGAGTGCTAATGTTTCTGCTTTGCAATTAGAAGATAGAGATCCTGTGAGGATGGAATGGCTTTCTATTGACCCATCTATCCACTCTATGTAGACACCTCCATCGCCGTTTCTGACTGCATCAGTTGCTGATCCACCTGTGTAAACTCGATTCCATCGGTTGCTTGGGAAGTTTCTGTCCAGGTAGTCGAGTGTCAGTGACTTGAGTATTGGAGGAGGGACTTCAGATTTGGTGCCAAGCTTTTCAAGGTTCTCTTGAATTTGAAGGGGGGTTGATTAGTCTGAAGGGGGCGGACTTGACACTGATCTAGAGGGGTTGGAGATTCTTCAAGACAGACTTCGAGTTCAGAGCTGGAGTGTCTGGCCATATGGAGGAAGCTTGTTCTTTTTAAGCGTTTGCTCTGTCTTTTTAAAGATCTATCCTTCATTAGACGGGTTAGCATTCTTTTGACCTTTTCCCGATGAACAATCGCTTTCAGATCGCGTCTGTCGTTCAGGGGTTCTAGCCCCGTTAGTGTTTCCATGACATGGATGGGCGTGAATCTCATTGCTCCCGTGATGATCCGCAGATTTTGATTCTGGATTCTCCCTACTTTGTGGAAGTTGCTGTCTGATGCTGTTCCCCACACTGCAATACCATATTCTAGGACTAGGCTGACATAATCACCATAGGCTCCATGTAAGACGATGTGGTTTGCTCCCCAATCTGACCCTGCCAACTTTCTAAGCACTGCTGTTCTTCTGTTACCTTTACTTCTGCACCTCTCTGTTCAGGCTTGCCACGTTAGTCTTGGATCAAACGTCACACCCAAATAGGTGGGATTTGACTCGTGTTGTAGAGTGTTTCCATCAAGAAGCAAGTTTACCTTTCGGGGTTTTGGTGAGAGGCTGAATGTTGTGTATGTGGTCTTGTTCTTGTTGATCTTCTGTACCCACTATTCTGTCCACTTCATCATGTTGTTAAGTGTGCTTTGGAGTCATACCTGGGCTGTTCCTACTGATTCTGCCTAGCATAAAAGAGCGAAGTCATCTGCGTACTCCGCTGCTGTCACTTTCTGGGTGATGGTGGTTGAAATGTCGTTGAGGAAAATCAGGAACAGGGTCGCTGATAAAATTCCCCCTTGTGGGACTCCATTACTGATTGTCTCCATTTTGCTTTTTTTTCCTTGCAGTATCACACAGGCTCTTCTTTGAGATGTATTGTGAGATCCATTTCAGCATGTTGTGAGAGATGTTCAGATTTTGTAATTTCAGTATGAGTTCTGTCCAGACTTTATCAAACGCCTTCTCCAGGTCGATCCAGATGGCTACAGTGTGTTCTTTCCTTTGGAAGCCGTCCTCTACCATCTGAGCGATGTATGTAATCTGGTCTTCAGTTGATCGATGTTTCCTAAACCCAGCTTGGTTATCTGATAGAAGATGGTTTTTCTCTAGAAACCAGCACAGTCTATAGTTGAGGATCCTCTCTAGAAGCTAGCACAGAGAGCTGGTGAGGCTGATTGGGCGGTAGCTTTCTGCACTGTTCTTGGGTTTTCCGTCTTTAAGGAGGGGTATCTTTATAGCAGTTTTCCAAGCTTTTGGAATTTTCCAGTTCTTCCAGCTGCTGTTGAATATTTGGAGGATTTTCGTCTTAGAAGTGTTTCCTATATGCATAAGCATGTCATTGCTCATTTTATCTGGGCCTGTGGCTTGTCTTGGTTTGAGCTGGAGAAGGGCTCTATCCAGTTCTGTCATTAAGAGTGGTTTGGTCATAACATCATCCTTATGTTCTTGTGGGGATTCAAAAGCATGTATTTTTCTCTGTACTTCGGCCTTATTCTGTTATCGTAGATTATATTGCGTCTAACACCTCCCCTCAAAATCCGAAGCCCTGCAGCAACGCTCCTACTTTGAACGAACTTTGATTACCCCAACAACCACCGGCCGGTCCCTTACTCATGCCGTACTCACATGATGCGAACTCACACAGGTTCACTGACCGGTCAAGATGATGGGCCCGACAAACTAGAAATTGGAGAACGCTTGTTTGGGGTTTTTTTTCTTTCTTTTTTGTCATTATAGTGACAGCAGTTTTAATTTATATTGCGACACTGTGTTTTTTATGCACCAACTGCACGTTCAAAATTTTTATTAACTGTAAATCTAACGTTAACAAACTATCATCGGACAATAATCTGAGCGGTAACGAAAGCGAAAGTAGATTTTGATTTCCCCGATGGAGTCTCAGTATCGGTATTACAATTACACTTCCGCCTGCCGCCATAGCCGCTTATTCACATGAAACGTACTCTCAGACTGGGGAAAGCCAAACGGAATACATGTATCACAAACGCGACTGGTAAAATATGAACTCAATAGCCTTTTCAGATTTGGTTTCGAGGACTTTGAGCATTTTCTCGGGTCTCAGTGATTTTTTTTTTTCAGACTCGCGGGTAATTCCAGCAGTCCCCCTGCCTGGAATCCTCATTTCGTACTGACCAATTCTCTAGATTCTAGACCTAGACAGATTTTAGAAAGTTTTGCTTTGATACCAATTTTCTTTCTACATTCACAATTCTGTTTTTTAGATAAATGAATCAAACGCACAGATTTTCCAGCTACAGCAAAAACCAGAAGATAGAAAGAATAAATGGATGAAAGGAAGGAGGAAGATTATTCATCGTTCATGAGTAGACAGGTTTGAGCCGATATGCACGTGAAAAACTATTGCCAACCGAACGGCACAGATTAACAATGGTCGAGTGTACGAAATGCACAATTTGGCAGTTTCTAATACAACTTATTGCCGTAAATATCTGACAAGTTATGGAGGCAAGTGCTGATCTCTTTCTCTCTCTCTCTTTAACGCATGGAGTTGATATGATGATGCGGTAAGTACGTAACTTTCGGAATGTACGGATTTCCGCAAAAACAATGAAGATTGGAAGCACTGCAGAACTTTTTTTTCTTTTTCTTTTTTTTTCGACACCCATCACAAATCTGATAGTTTTGACACTTTTTGGGTATGGCGGTAGAACACGCCCAAAATCGGTAACTACCGGAAAAATCGGTAGATTTAGGCAGCCCTCGAGTAGTACAATTTACATACCAACTTAAAATTACCACCCATCCATTGATAAAACACTAGAGCTGGAAACTAGATCATGCATTCCAAATGCAAGGTGTCGGCATGCAAGAGACGAGTGGTCGCTAGGCGCCATGTGATTGGCTGCCTAAAGCTAAAAGTAAAAACGATGTCACGCAATTCAACCAGTTTCACTCAAATATTAGTCTTTAAGATCCAAAGTAATAAAGACATTGAAAAAGTGATGGCAGAACTAGATTCTGCACTAAAAATCACATGAAGATGCCAAGTTTCATTCATATATTCGAGTTCATTACTGACTTACGAACAGTTTTTCCTCAAAATACATCAAGACATGTCCCACATTTTGGTGATATTTTCCTATATGAAAGTCCCCCAAAATTTTGCAAACAAAAATCCCAATAAATTTTTTATTTATCAATGGATTTTTAAAATTAAAAAAACATAGTTCTTAGAATTTACTTTATTTTCATTTAAGCCAAATTTTAAGCAACTTGGATAAAAATTTGATTTTTCATTGTCACTGCTACAGTGTGTATATTTGAGTGCTGTATTTCTTAGATTTATTCTTAGATTTCAAGGAATTTTGGCATTTAGGTTGGAAATTGAATGTAGTATCTGAAAATGTATAAGGTTAAGAATTACACTAATTACACCATGTAGATTTTGAGGTGTATTCCATCCTCCAACTTGACCCTGATTGCCATGCCCACGACGTCCCCTTGGATATACAAATCTACCCCATCAAATCTGTACTAACCATGATCTGAATCACTATAAGATGAGTCCAACTCCTGTTTGTTATCCTCCACAACGGAATTTACCGCACTTTATTCAGAATCACTTTCATCAAATTAGTCTAATTCCTCCTCACAACCTAGCACTACTTCTTCATCGGCCGTAAACATGTGTTTTCAAGACATTTTTCTAGCTTCTACACCCATCCAAAAAAAAACCGCTGTTCATTGGAAAAATGAAATATTCAGACATCGCTGTATTTGCGCATTTTGGTAATTACAAGCAGAGCTAGCAGTTAAACGTGCCGTATAGCTGTTCCAAGTTTACTCGTAGCCTGGCCTAGTCCTCGTTACGAGTATACATGTAGCCTGGATAAAAAGAGTTAACCTACTGGTTGGCAGCTATGAAAATCTAGAAAGCTACCCGAGTTTAAGCACACCAATCTACTTCAACCAATCTTGCTGTTTATCCAGTTGTCTTCAACTGTGCCACAAACACTCACTTATCACCGTAGGATATATCAATATTCTCCAGCTTGATGTCGTAGGACTTGTTACTCCCAGAAGCATCCATCTTCACGTCTCTTTTGCTGATCTGTTGACTTGCTGAAGCCATCTCAGGCACGCTACAAGTGCCACAAGAAAAAACATAAAGAGTTATGAACTTCTAGGACTGAAACACAACAGTCAAAAAGTCAAAGGGAAGAAGATGACACCTCTACTTAAAAATACATGGCAGTAAGCAGGAAAGACAGTATGATACATAAAAAGAAAAAACATTTTATTCCTACAGCCTAAAACATATTGAAACAGAACTTTTAAACTTGACAAATATTGCTGAGAGTGAAAGACGAACGTCGCAACTATTTACAAACACAGTTCACAAGTTCGTTTTAAAGTATAGCACTATACTATACACAAATACAGTGAAATAATCCTTAGAATATAAAAGTATGTCCAAGAAGGTGGAAATATTAATAACATCAGATATGCTGATGACACAGTTTTAATGACAGATTAAAAAATGACCTTCAATCGCTTCTAGATACTGTAGTAAAGGATGTGAATGTAAAGGGTTATTGCCGAATGAAAAGAGAACAGAATGCATGCTAATATCTAGAAAAAGTAGTAAATCCTATTTGTAACCTCATAAGCAAAGGCAAAAAAATCAAACAAGGTCAACAGTTTAAACATCTAGGATATAATTACATGTGATGTCAAATGTTCCAGAAATAAAATGAAAAGCTGCAATGGCTAAAGATAGTTTCAATAAAATGAGTCGAACCCTGAAAAATAGAAACAATGACTACCAAAATGAAAGTTCTGAAATGTTATCATGTATGGTCAACTCTTCTATACAGCTGTTGTTTGTTTGTTTTAGTAGGTTTTACGGCGCTCGCAACTGCATAAGGTCATATGAGCGCTAAGGGGTGGATGTCAACAGAGAAGTCCTTACAAGGAAATAGACTTACTCTGTTCACCTCTCTAGCCAACAGCACAAAGTCTGCTTCGACTATCAAGGCACCCCGGAAATAGTGGGTCACAAGAGTGTGACAAACATACAAAAGAAGTAGAGGAAAATGACGATAGTAAGTAATAGGAAAGAAAAAGCAGCAGTTCCCTGTTGTAGTTCAGGCACAGAGCATGACATTGTTGGATCAGCCCATTTACAATTCTACTGTGCATTAGAACGAGAAATGGGAATTGCCTTATACGGCAGTCAATGCTGGACAATCACTAAAGACAGAAAAGCATTAGCAGTGGTTTCTTAGAAGTCTGGTGAGAATATCTTGGAAGGAAAAGAAATCAAATGTGGTTATACTTGTAGAAACCCATATGGGTCCCTCGCTGATAAAAACAATCAGGAAAAGACAAGTGCAGTTTCTGGAATACTTAAACAGACATAAAGGCCTTGAACATCTAGCTGGGAGACGGAGAAAAATCAGGATTACGCAGTTATTTTTAGAGCATCAGAGCAAAGGAATGAATGGAGAGCCATTATCGCCAATCCCGTCTCAGATCTGGCAATTGATGATGGTGAGACACAAGTTAGTCGAAGACAGTCATCCACTGTCAAGGAGAAAAGTGACCATAGTAGGAAGGACTGATCAAAAAGAAGAAAAACAAACCATACCCTTCTGCTTTTTTGTTGCTGGTTTCATGCTAGGGTAAAACTAAATGAAATGTGTCAGCCGACGAAGACTGAGTGCGATGGTAAAACAAAAAAATGGGTAGTCACCAGTCAGCAAATGAGCGACGCTTCTGTCCCATGCTCATGTAGACGCCCATTGATACGGACTAAGTAAACAGAGCAACTACTCATCTCACTTATGATTTGTGTATGGTTAGTTGACAGATCACATGCCTCCTTCATCAGCAGCTGAAAATTTGTTACCGACTGATCAACTTGGGTAAACAGTGGGTGGGACCTATGCAACATGATTGGGTCATTAATTGGAGGAACTAACAATAATGACAGGTGAATGGGTTAAGATGGCTCGTCCACAGCATTTGTGGTCGATATACGATTTATGACGAAGCGTCGGGCGACGATGAGAGATTTGCGTGGCCATCTTCGACAGGTCTTTTGGGCTGTTGGCTGATAAAATACAGTGAGGCAGCCGCATTTGACAGCTTATCCTTTTATGAAGTACTATTATAAAAAAAATTTTTAAAAGTGTGAAATGGAAAGAGGCCAATTGCACAGGTGGCCGTTATGGCAGGTTTGACTGTTTAAAAGGAAGACTACATAGTTCTTTGTCAAGATGCTAAGAGAAAAGAAATATTTTCGACAGGATCGGAGAAAAAATTTAAAATCCATTCACTTTCAATTCAACCCTTAAACTTCCACACAGCAGACCACTTTCCCTCTCTTGACAATCATGACACATAAAAGCTTGAGAAAACAATGGCACCTTTCAACCTTCTTTATGGTGGTCTGTTCCCGCTTGCCAAGTTTCTTTTGAATTTTCTTGTCAGCCTTCTCAAGCTTTTTCTGATCAACGATCTGGAAAACGAGAGAAAAACCAGAGAGAGAAGTTATTAAACATTAGCTAAATTACAGAACTGAGCCTACTGTTTGTTGCACATCATAGGTCAACTCCTTACCTACTGATAAAATGTTAGGCCAATATAAATCCTTCAGGGGGCATCTTAGTCCAGCAGTGCAGACTTCAAAAGTGAAGCTTAGCTAGATATAGACTTCAGCAAAAGTTAGGGACCACTTGCAAACACTCTGAGAGGTCTTCTTGGGTCGACCTGCACGTGGGCGCATTTTGGACGGATCCAGTGGCTTGATGGTGCTGCCTCAGGCGGACAATGACAGAGTATGACACTGCGAGCCTTCTGGCAACTTCTCAGGGTCCTTAACTTTTGTTGAAGTCTGTAGTATGTTGCATCAATAGGAAACCTTTAATAATTTTGTCAGATCACCCAAATGGAAACGGGTACTTGGTCATTGAGAGCAAAAGACAGTGTCAAGCACCTACGGGAAAGATATGTTCCCCAAAGGAATGAGACAATGATTTCAGCCTAGAGATGGAATAGAAGGTACTATGCTTCTTGCCAGGTCATCCGAACTCTGATGTGATCACCTTTAATTTCAATCACATACTCAATCAAAATTATGAGTGGTACCACAGCATCAATGTAACACTCAGACAAAAAGCAGGGCCATGCCAGTACAACTCACCGAAGAATTGTCTCTTTTCACCATCCATATGCTGTGATCATTGGTTGACTCACTCTCCCTGCCATCGGCTAGTGCGGACAGTTGTACCGGAGCATCGAGGATCTTGTTGTTCCCATTAATCGCAGTCTCTGGCTGATTGCTGAACGAAACATCACAAAGTATACAACATAAAACAAGGCAAAAACAACATCCTCATTTGCAGATGGAAAAGGGAAACAACACGCTCTCCCCAGCAAATAAAGCAAGCAAAGCAAATTAAGAGCAGACACATAAGAAATATTGTTCTTGTCGTCCTAAATAATATTTCACCCCAGTCTGATCATATTATATACTTTACAGACTATGACCAGATTTTATACAGAATCAACAAGCTCAGTAGCTGTAACTAGGCTGAGTCGTACGAAACTTACTCACTTTTTCCCTATATCTCCAGGTAGACGAAGCAGAAACAATCGATTTCATGCTAGCCTGTTCCTGGCCACCTCCTCCAATCTTGGCACATCTAGGCCCTGGGTGATTGCCTCATCCCCAATTTTGTTTCTGTAACTTTCAGTAGCTCTTTCTCTTTTTCCGGATGGTCTTCAATCTACAGATTTCCTCAAATTCTCGGGGCATTCCCGGGTCTTGGCGATTTTTTTCAAATCCCCAGGTAATTCTCAGGGTCTAGCAGTCACCCTTTATTGTTATTTATGCTTTCAACTCCATGTTGGCCATTGTTATCTTCTGATCCTTCATTTGAGTCCCCAACTTATGCATTCATGTCACCCATTATACAGAGTATAACATGTTGTAGAACCTTTTCTATTGTGCAGTTAGGGTTGTTATTGGAAAACAATCCTTCTCTTCTTCTTCTTCTTCTTCGATATCATGAGTAAGTGCATAACATTGTATTATTGAGATCTTGGAAGTGTCTTGTTTGAAATCTTGTTCTTAATAATCTAGTCCTTTAAATTAGTAATTCGTTCGTTTTGTCAATATATAGGACACCTACTCCTTGCTGTCCTCTCTTTCATGGTCCTAAATTTGAAGCAAATGCATATTGATATGTGAATGACTTAATTATTAATTTTGCCAAAGCAAAAAATTTATCACTGCCCATGTGAAAACTTTTTTTCATCTGTTATAGAGATTTTCGATATCTTTTGAAAAACTAGAAAAGTATAAGATTGTCAAAGTTAAATGTCTTGTCTCTCAAAGAGAGGAAACCTTCTTGGATCGTCAAAGGATTGGAAACTAGCTGCAGATCTCCCAGAGTGGCGGAACTACCCTCCCATGATCAAGAGAGGTCTCAAACCAGATATCATTTTCTGGTCAGAAACTGATGCTAACATCTTCTTAATCGAGCTGACTGTGTGACTGAGGGTTTATCGCAGCCTCAACTTTCACACCGTTGGGGCAGCTAGACCTCAAAGGCAGGAAGAGAAAGACAACCACCAAGAACATTTCAAAAATGGCAGAAAAGAGTTCGAGCTGGCTGGGACATGGTATCAAAATGGTTTTTTAAAATCCCTCAACAATCATTCTCTCCACTTGAAGTAAAACTGATTGCCAAAGTGCATAATCATAATAGCTAAAAATTACAATAGCTCAAACCTGTGGAGGAGACAATGCAAGCGGTCACATATCTGTTTCATGTCTTCTTCAGATTTGCTTTCGTCAGCTTGCTGAAGCATGATCCCAATCGCTTCATACAGATCATCAGAAGTCTCAAAATCATCCCCTCCATCGTCCAGAACACCTAAAGACACAAAGTTATAAATATAACAAATGTGAAGGGAATATCAAAAGATCAGTGTCAACAAGCTCTGGGCCTTGAAGATGATAAAAATCATCATAGATCAAAGACTAAGCTTTTGCTGTATACTGTGGTTACAATTTTTATTCCAGATCATTTTATTAAATTATCTTTCTTATTAAGTAATTCCAAGTCAGTCTAACCCTAGTTCTTGAAAAAACAAAAGCAACAACAAATATTTTTAAAATTCAATAAGAACCGAAACAAACAGCTACAGTCTCTAATTGTGACACAAAAAATACGAAAAACACAGCAAATTTACTCTAAGAAAAACTGGGAATTGCCACAGGCAATTAGAGCAACAGACCACATACAACAGTTTCTTACTATACTAAAGTGTTTTACATTTCCATCATTATTGAAAGTAACAGTAAGGTACATGGCATCATTTTTTGTTCCACTCCGCGCCTTTTAGTAGTAGCTTGAGGGTCAATTGACTGACCCTGAAGCAACTTTGCTGGAGTCCATTCCATTAAGAAGTTCGCATTTTTGTTCAACTTTTGAAAAGATATAACTTTCTCCCCATCCCACACAATAAAATTACTCAAATCACAACACCTAGGTATTAAAATCTCAATGTTTCAAGATTTATTCTTCGTTGGAATGGTTATTTTCTGTACCTTAATATTTGTTCTAGAAGTTTTAGAAGAGTACCCAATCTGGCTTATTTATTATAGCTTACTTTTTCACAAATGATTGTTTTTTAACATGCTTTGAACTATTGATCTCTCCGAAATCTGTGCTTAACTGACTATAGGGGCTCCTGTAGTCTAGAGGTTATGGTGTTCACCTCTCATTCAATAGGTCCAGGATTCGAAACCCGACCGCGACTGAAAATTTCATACTCTAAAATATTGTCCTTCCACCTCCTTTCCTGCTCTCTAAACCATGATGTTCTATCGTCTGCTTTCATCTCCACTTTCTGCCCTGTCCCCCCTTCTCTGGGCTCCTGACTCTTTCAGCAGCCTTTCTACTGCTACTCCTTGGCCCTTCTTACTACTGTCTTTCAGCTACACCTCTGATCTTATGGTAGGTAAGATCTAACACCTAGCATGGTAGGTAAGATCTAACACCTAGCCTTCTCGAATAAGGGCGAAAAATCTCTGGCCACCTGTGTGTAAGTTGCTCATGTTAAAGATCCCTTGGTGGTCCTAAAATCGATAGGAGTAAGCTTCAGTCGCCTCCAGGTCATAATTCAAAATTCTCACCAAAGTGAAAATGCTTAATGCGTCCCACGCGCTCATAAAACTTTATGCAATAGCGAGCGCCGCAAAATGCTTATCAAACCCCCAAAAACAACTTGTCTACGAATATCATGTCGTTCACCGCCAGAAATCTTGTATCAGCGCAGTTAGTTATAGCCAAGTTATAAGGGAACAAAGATCGCATTATCTGCATTTTTGAGAAAATGTGCTCAGTGTTGGCTCTTGCTTTACCATGTAACACACACAAGAAAGACACTTTTACTTTGTTCATAAATTTTGCTGTATCTTTGGCAGCCTGATGCGACACTTCAAAACACAATTTAAATTGTGCGAATACTTGAGTATAGATAAAATACTTCATGTATGGAATACCAAAAACAATGGCCAATACATGCATTCTTAGTTTTTGGGTTGGAAATGGGCGCTGGCACTTACAAATGTGAAGAAATCAGAACATGGTCAGTCCTTACAAATGGTCACAGATACTGAAAGAAAAGCTAGAAAAATCTACTTGTGCACTCTGGGTAAAGTTGAGAAAAGTCTTTCAAAGAGGGTAGTTCAAAGACAAGAATTTATCACAGCTGAAACTGACATAAACACCAGCTCAAACTTTCAACACTATTCTTAGATCATACACCCATGATATTTACCAAAAGCAAAATTGAGAATATAAGACATTTACTAACCGATAGACTGCAAATGCTTTAAAAATGTGATTTTGATCATTCATGAGGTATGTTGCTTTGATCCTGCCTGTCAGGACAAACCCAGATTGCCTTGGATATATATCTAAGTTTCGTACACATTCCTGAATACATATTTCAGCTAACTTGACAGACACACTCCATAAAAGAACTTCCCCACTAAAGAAATTAACTCATTCATGTCTTCTGTATGTAATGATGAGGAACTTAACAACATTACTGTTACACCATCACAACAGTTTTTTAGGCAACTGGTCAAAACAAAAGGGCAGCAATTATTCTGAACACAAGCAACAACCTCTTCTCCCCTCCCGCATATTTCTCACCCTTGACACGTGTGTAGCGGACTGTATTTCTTGTTCTCATTACTTTTTTACAATTGCAAAAGTTCACCAAAATGATGAAGAAAATGAGACTTTTTTATGGGAGCACCATGTCCTCAAGACAGGTTTATTTTGTGATAAGTGTGGTGGTAGATTGTGCACATTTGAGACATTATGATCACACATGGCTTCGTAGATCCAGTTGTCATTACCACCACCAAAAAAAAGAAAAAAAAAAGAGGGGCGATTTCAACATTTTCAAAGTTAAAGCCAAGGTTGCAGCATTCTCTTTGACAAATTTATCTTGTCGTGAAACATTTTCGAAAGAAGAAGCAAATGAGGTAATTGTAAATATTTTTGTTTTTTTAAGTGTGTGTGTGTGTGTGTGTGTGTGTGTTTGTGTGTGTGTGTGCTGTGTGTGTGAGTGTGTGTGTAACCGTACTTCTAGAACTATCTGCTTTGGTTTGAAACTGAGGTGTACATCTCATTTGAAACACATTATAAAGTTGGTAGCTCTAGATGCTTGTCTAATGAAATTTGAACAAATCGACCCACATAGGTACAAAGAACCTGGAAGGACTTTAATTTCTCAATCAGATTTTTTTTAAATGAGCTTGATTTTACATATACAGTGGCGCCCAAGAGAAACTCGAAAATTTAATCATCCAATCATGCTAAAGCCTTCCACTACCCACTCATGCAGCATACAAATTTAAAGCTAAATATATTTTGCATCATCTGACACAATATTTGTGAGGTAGCATGGTGAAATCAGGCACTTGTCACAATAATGAAAGTCAAATTGAAGAAACCGGCATTTTTTTGCAGGTTTGGGAATTTGTATCGAATCTTTAATTTTTGGGCTCAACACCTTTCATGCCCTTTAAAGAACACATTTCTGTGTGGATTTTACTGGAAAAATGTTGATTAAAGGCATAAAAGATGTAAATTACGGACTCTCAAGCTAAGGAATTAACTCAACTTTGGCGGACATTTTCACGCTAATTTTACCTCTGAAACCAGGCGACCCCCCCACCTCCTTCAATTGCCAATATCTTGACTTGTATTCAAGATAAATGGATCTTTTTTTTCATAAAAAGCAAGACAAATGAATAGGCTTTAAGACGATACTTATAACTCTATATGCCCAAAATTGGCAAGCGCCTGACTCCACCGCGCCGTGACACATTTCTTCTATAAAGAGACACCCGAGATATAGTCACTAAAAACTGACCTTTAAAAATCAGGCTTGGCGAAATTGTGTGAAATCAAAGAAACGTAAAATTGTCTTCGCACATGTATTGAGGAGTATCAATATTGATAAAATGGATATACATGACACATCCAATGAATGGAGAACTTTATCTCTGAAATAAACAATATTTTATTTCAATATTTTCAAACAAAACAAAACTCGGACATCACATACTTATTTAAATGTAAAAGCTCATTATTATTTTGCTTAGAAGCCAAAGGTTTTGTGTAGGTCACGATCCTTTGGGCATCGGCTGTATTAAATTTTGGACATAATTAATTACCAGTCATTTAACTCCCCAAATGTCCCAGACAGTTGCAAAAAAAGGGCCTGAATTGAGAGAAAAGTCAATTTTCTTTAGTTGCTGTTTCATAGGACTTCACATAGGCTATCTGTAGGATTCATATCGGCGCTATTTACAGGTGACCACTCCAACGTTGACAGGATTTGGTTTTCCAAGAACGGCCTAGTGGCATTTGCCATGTAAGAAAGTGCTTTGCCATGCATGGAGATGTCTACTTGAATGACACCATGACGAAAATAAGGATAAGACATGGCCTTCCAGCACTAGTGCAACGTTGTCCATTAGACCAAGCCATCCGGTGATTTATGTTTTGTTTATTCCACCCCAGACCATAAAAAACCATGGCGGTTTCGCGGCCTCTGCTCCTCACTGACAGATGATTAGTCCAAAATCTAATAGCTGATGATGGAGACAATAAGCCTGCCCACACTGAAATGGACCCTTATGAAGAGGAGCGAGGAAGCATAGAGCTCCCCGTCTTCCTAAGACTCCAGTTCTACATTCAAGTACTCAAGCAGTCCAAAATCTAACTAACACAGTCCATGTGCAAAAAAGGTTTCGTTCTCTACACAAAAACAAATAGCTCCAAACAAAAACAAAATCGTTTAGTTTAGTAAGAGTTATATGGCACCCGCAACTGCATAAGGTCATATGAGCGTGCGAAACACGAGTTAGTTGCATTCACAACAGCTCACAGAACTGCTTGACTTTGGTCACATTATTTCTATTAAACTGTTAAAAATTAGTGGTAAAAAATTCTTAGTTTAAAATAACATTAAAAATTTAAATAAGATTATTCACATTTACTGTTAAGGCCAATGGCCTTTATAAAATCGAGAATTCTGTTGGGATCAATGACGGAGAACAGGTCTTGTAATATTTCGCATTTAAAATATTTTCTTCTGGTGTCTACAAAGTCTGGACATTCTGTTAAGATATGTCCAGGGTTGGGTTGATTTAAATCAGTTGATTTTTTAAATTTAAATCAACTTGATTTTTAAAAATAAAAATCAGTGATTTAAATCACTTTAAAATTTTTTTTTTTTAATTCAGTTTTTACACATTTCAACATTCAGAATTCCTTTCCTTGGTTTCATAAAACAGATATAATAATATAATCATGCTTAAAAGTCTGCTTTCACTGTAAAATAA